GAGGAGTCTGACCTTCAAATTGTGAAATTGCTGGGGGAAGAAATCATAGAACTGTAGAGTTGGAAGGGACCCTGAGGGTCATCTAGTCCAACCCCCTGAAATGTAGGGATCTCAGCTGGATCATACATGGCAAGTGGCCGGATCCGTAGGGGGTTGGACTAGAGTGCCTTCCAACAACGCAATTCTATGATTCTGTGATTCAACCTCTGATTAAAATCCTCCCAGGAAAGAGTTGGAGTCTCGTTGGAGACTGTTCCACTGTCGAATTTGACACAAGCACACACAGATCGAAAATCAGACTGCAGTGGAGAGAATGCCTATTGCTTCCCATTCTTCTAAATGAACGCTGGTTGAAGTCCAACAGTTAGTCACATAAGAGTCAACAGCAAATTGACAAGAGCAACAACCCGATATTAAATTATCTTGCCCAGGAACAGTTTTTTATTAAGGCCATAATTTACTCATGCCTGCTAAAGGAAGGTGACCACAGATTGAATTGTGCTGTCCCTACCTGTGAGGATTTTGACCCTGTAGGCAAAAATAAATAGGGAGGAAAGAAAAAAAGAAATGTGACTTTTCCTCTCCCTGACCTCCCCTTCTTATTCAGATTTTACATGCAGCCAGTTAGAAATACAATAGAATGAATCAACACCGGTTGCAAGAAACAGCCCGTGCTACTCCTTGTTCAACACACCACAAATGGCTGCCCAGAAAAAGTTTTAAAAGATAATTGTAGGGTTGCCGTATGTCAAGAATTTCCCAGACTTATCTGGAATACTTTTCTGATTTTCACTGTTTGAAATATGGCAACCCTAGGTAATTGACTTTTACACAGGGCCGCCCCAAGAGTCACCTACAGTCAGCTAGTTGTGTAATGCTATATAGCCAGGGCCGGCCCACACATGAGGTGACCTGAAGCAGCTGCCTTAGGCGGCAGAATCCAAGGGGTGGCATTGCTATAGCTGCTCCACCTGTGATCTCCTCCGGATGACAGACATAGGAGGAGAAGCAGCATGAAATCTCAGCAGAAGCCAGCACTTTTATATGTCACAGAGGATATATTTTATTGTTTCGATTTGTACCAACTAGTCAGCTCTTTGGCTACTAGTCAAATAAACAGTATTTTGTGAAGACCTGTGTAACTACAGATTATTACGCACAGTGAAAGCAGGTATACTCCTTAGGTGTCATCGGCATTTGTTTAATCCGTTTGATCATTAACCTTTAGCTTTATTGCAAGGTGAAGCTCTTTCCTAATTACCTACAAAGTATATTACAATCCTTAAACTGCTAGTAAAGATGCTCAGTCAAAGAACCACAACCTAAGCTTTCTGTTGCTATATTAATCACAGCAGCTGCCTGGCTGCAGAGCAAACCCGAATGCTGTTCTATAACAGAAACCCTACAACTGGCATCACACTACAGCTAAAAAAAACCCCTCTCCCCAGATAAAGTTGTCTTTCTCAGCAGACAGAGAATATTCTAAAATATGCTTGAAAGTCCTCTCTCTCTCTCTCTCTCTCTCTCTCTCACACACACACACACACACACACACACACAATCAGAATCATGCACAATGAATACTATGGAGAGAAATAGCAGCCAGAATATACGGTGAATGTTTTCATAGGTCCAATGTCCTCACTGTGGAAGGACGTGTGGATCCAGAACCGGCCTCCACAGTCCCTTATGGACTCATTGTTAAAACCGTGTTTATGGAAGACAATCTTAATCGGCTACGAGTGATCGCCAAAGAAAGAAGAAGAAAGAAGAGGTGCTCTTTTGCAAGAATCAGCATTTAGAAGTCCAAGACAGGCCTAACACAGAGATTATTATATGGAGTTGTGCACTGGAGGGATATAAATGACCAGGCTAGGCAGAGCACGATGCAGTACACAGTGTGCTTTTCTGTTATGGATGTGGAGAAGGAAACAAATAAAAGATTTCCAGGGAAACCTTCCCCCTGCCAGCTTGAGCCCTCCCCACTATAAACACTATTAAGAGATATAATCATATAACTCTCACCCCTTCCAATTTTCAGGACTGAAGGGTACATTCGCCAGAACGAGTTACAGGCTGCTGAATGGTGACAGCAACCCAAGATCTCTGTTCAGCAAGATAATGAGTTTTAATTCGCAGACATTCCTTTCAAAAGAAAGTTATGATATACATTTCCTTTAAGGACAGACTGGGCCATGAAAACTGCTTGTCCACAGGCAACACTTCACACAGAGCTGCTCTGTGAAAGAGGCTGACTTTCAAAAACTTTGATTAGCCAGTCCTGTTTTTAATGGCTTTACCTTTTTTTTGTATACATGTTGTTGTATAAAACCCTGAAATATAAATACATTTACAAAATCTGTTAACTGACTTAGAAGTGTGTTCTCAGTTCTTCAGCAAGCAAATAATAATAATAATAATAATAATAATAATAATAAAAGATGTTCATGCATCCCACCATTTAAACCCAAAGAAAGCTTTCTTTCTTCAGAACTGTTATCTTACTTGTGGGTGCATACACACAGAGCAATACATTTGCACGATCTTGGCTTGAAAGAGTTGCCAGAAGGAGGCATACAACTTAGGGACCCTGAAATTGTGGAGGGTTCACTCCTATTCTTCTAGAAAAAGAGGTGCTGGAACTCACCACGAACACCTCCCTCATTTCCTTAGAATGGCAATGGCGCCCACCAGGAGTGCCAACTTGGCCCCGCCACCATGGGTGCCCGGGCCGTGGGTGCCATGCAGCATGCGTGGCCCTGGCATCAAAATTTGTGGGGAATTTTGTGGGTGCTTGGGCACCCAGGTCCCTAGAGGGTTGGCACCTATGGTGCCCACCTGAAAGCTGGCATAACCCACCTGAGAGGTGCCGGAACTGAACTGGGGGGGGGAGCCCTGCTCCTTAACCTTTTCTTCTCTCAAGGATATCCTGCAAGGCAGTGGAGTTTAGGATCAGAGTTTTCCTTCTCCTAGATGGGCTCCCTTCCCAGGTTGACAAGCCCCATCTGCCAACTCACTTCCCTCTTCCCACATGCAGAAACCACTTTCTTGACCATTGGACTGGTCTTGTCCACTCAATCTGCAGGAGCCTGCCTTTGCATGCAGAGGAAGTCCCTAACTCACTGAGGGTCTGAGACACATCAGCTACCCTCACATGGTTTAGCTGGCCTGTTGAAGCCATTCTCTGGGTGTGGCCACTGCCACATGCTTCTAGGAGCCACAGGTGAGAGCTGAGTGCAAGGTGGGAACCAAAGGTGAGCAAACTACCCCAGAAGGAGCGTGACGTGTCCCCCACCAGAGGTCAACAAAAGAGGCTTAAAGACTTTCTACCAATTTTTTTTAGATTTGCCTTGAGAAACACCAACAACTGGGAAACACTGGCCTGCGAGTGCTCCAACTGGAGAAAAGCCTCTACCAAAGGTGTCATGGACTTTGAAGACGCTCGAACTCAGGACAAAAGGAAGACATGTGCTAAGAGGAAGGCATGTGTGACAAACCCTCACCATGATCAGCCCCCACCCCGGAAACCTATGTCCCCACCGTGGAAGGACGTGTGGATCCAGAATTGGCCTCCCCAGTCACTTACAGACTCATTGTTAAGACAGTGTTCATGGAAGACCATCTTACTTGGCTACGAGGGATCACAAAAGACAAAGACTGTCCCCCCTAACATCCCATAGTAATGACTACTGGGATAGAATCAGGTGCGGTTTAGTTTGTGTGCAGAGCTGTTAAATGTGGTCTCTTTAGTGACTACAACACATCAACAACTTAACTGGATTCAACATAAAAACAGACTCAGGGCCGACCTGAGATACTTTGCTGCCTGAGGAAGAAAATAAAAACACAGAGTGTGTGCTCTGCTCTTGCTCATCAGCATCACATACAATCCACCAAGAAGTAGATTGTACAAGCCCCATTGAAATGAATGTTCAATGAAAACTTCTTCATGAAGTGTGCCTCGTGGGTGAAATCCCACTCTGCCTGCCCCCCTTCAGGGCAAAGGAACCCCTGAGTGGAACTCAAAAACAAAATACTGAATTGCTCCCCTCTGTAGTTATATGTGATGCCTGGGTTTCATTCCACCACCCATAAACTCACAAGCAAAAGGACCAGCTTCGTTTACAGAGACTGCTACAAAGAGTTGCCCTCTTTTCTCCCAATTTTATGATCCTTCTAATTTTTACAGAGAGAGAGAAACCCGAAATGTAACAGAGTTCAATTAGCCCAAACGCCTTGGAGGTCTGTCAAAGGGAGCGGGTAGGAACCAGCCCTAGCATAACTCAGCAATCTTGTGTTTATTTGCATTGCATCCCGCCCCCCCAAACTGGCAGAATTCCAACACAAAGACACCCTTCTCCAACAAAGGAAAGCCAGAGGGAAGGAAAGCAAAACACACAAATCCATATATATATTTCAGGAACTGACTGGAAGGGCGCAGAGAGCAAAAGAAAGCTTCGGTCTGCGAAGACCCTCTGAATACTAAGCAGCCTCAAGGCGTCTCTCCACCGAGTCTCCGCGCCGCGCAGGTTTGTTTTCCAAGGCGCGATCGCGCCAGATCCGTGGATCCCAGAACAAGCAAGCTGTCTTCAGAAGGGGCGGGATGTTAGGGGAAACCGAGTGACCATTCTCCACAGGGAGGGGGGTGGCGGTGGAGTGTCACTCCAGCCGACAAAACGAAAGACCGTGGCAGCTGGAGATAGGTGGAAACGCGCCGCGAGTCTCCACGCAAAAGGGAGGGAGAGAGGACGGGTCGGTCCCCCAACCCTGTCACTACACAAACACACCACACAAACACACACACACAGTGCAAGCCCTTGTCGCCGTTTTACAGGGAAATGCCCTTCGGACTTCCCTTCCCCTCGTGTCACAAAGCCCACAGTGCCGCCACTTCGCTGCAGATTCCCTCCAACAGATCCTTCAGAGAGGCAGGGGCGCAACAGAGAAAAACACACACACACACATGCACCCAGGCGAGCGTGGATTCCAGAGCAACTTACCTGGGAGGCGTCTCTGTTTTGGCTGGATGGGCCGATTGCCTATCCTGCGAGGGTCTGAGCACCCCTGGTTCCAGCAGGCAAGGCAGTGGCGGGTGGGAAGTGTGTAGACTGGCAGCAGAGGCGGCGGGAGCGCAGCGGCGCGGGCAGGAGGGAGGTGGCGCACCACGCGCCCTCAAGCTCTCTCCGAGGCGCGTCTGGCGTGCTTCTTGGCCGGGCTCTCCAAAAGCGTGCGCTGGATCCCCCCCTGCTGCAGGGGGCGCCGATGCTTCATGCTCTGCCGAGGGGAGTGGGACCCCCCTTCCTCCGCCCACGCGCACTGCGAGATGCCAGGCGGAGAGACAAGCATGCGAATGGGGCGGGGGGGGGTTAAATGTGGGGTGCGATCAGCGGGAGCCCGAAGCCACAACCTCAATCTGCTGGGATGACTCCCCGAGTTTTCAGCCAGCTCCAAACAGTCCCCTTTAAGAGACTGTGATGCGCGGAGAGCAAAATCACTGAAGTTCGCCGAAACAATGCAACGTTTAAAAAGACGTTTTGAAAAGGAAGGAAGGAAAGAAAGAAAGCTAAGCGGTTTGCGTTTTCTCAGGTTGGGCTTCGCGAGCCCCTGCTAAGAACCGCCAGCCGCCTTGTTTGAGCACAGCTCAGCTGGGCAAAGAGGGCAGAAGGCGCTGCAGAGCATCTCCCACCTCCAAAAAGCTGCAGCATCTGCTTAAACACACACACACAAACACACACGGAAACTTCGAGTTCTGCTCCGACTCGGTGACTGAGAAGCATCCGAAGGGTGGAGCCTCTGGAGGGAAGGAGGCCCCCGAGAGATTTCGCTTGAGCTGCAGAACAGCAAAAGGAAAGAGAGCAGGAGCTACGAGCCCATTTGGCCCAACAGGTTGCAGGTTGCCAACTCCCCTCTGGAGTCCGTTTAAAAAGATGCTAACTAAGGAGTTGCTGCGAGCGCCAGCTGAATGCGATTAAGCAGGCAGCTCCGGCCCTCCCTTTGGCTGCTGTCCGTGGTGCTGAAAGCTCTCCAGTAGCTCGTTATTGGGGATAAAATCCTTTTCTAACCTCATTAGTCGGCGCTCATCAGCGGCGCGCATCCTGATCCTTCGCCTCAATCATCGCAAATGAAGCTTTACGTCCGCTTGGCCGGGTTTTAAATTATTATTTTTTTGACCTTTTGCTGGACCAAAATAAACGGATGTTTCTTATTAACAGGGTAAAGACAATGCGAGAAAGGAAAGAAAGCTGGCTGCTTTGAGTCCTGTGCATCCGCTACGTGCCTATAGGCAGCGGCGGTAGCGTGAGTTGTCAGCACCCGGGCAACGCAAGTAATTTGCGCCCCCTAACCCGGGGCAACGCAAGTAATTTGCGAACCCCTAACCGCGAGTTCCGCTGGCGCTGCCCGCAAACAAGCGCTGCCCGGAAGGAAGCAGAAAGCCGCCGCCTGGCTGCGGGGATGGCGCGCGGAGGGTGCAGAGGCGCGTGCCGGCCAGGCTCGAGTGCGGCTCGGCGCTGCTGCAGGGCTGCCTCCTCCTGCGAGCAGTGAGCGGAGCGCAGCCAAGCGACGGCGGGGCGCGCGCGCTAGGAGCTGGTGGCGGCGGGAGCCCGCGGAGAAGAATTTCCTTCCTCGGACTCCCCCGATGTTGCGCCCGGTGCGGTCGGCACCCCTGGCACCCCCCACGCTACGCCACTGCCTATAGGATCGCGCATGTTTCAAAATGCCCCATATTTTTCTGGCTGCACACCCAACAGCGGGTCACTAGTGTGCGTCAAGTATCTTTTTTCAGGGGGCGGCGGAGGAAAAGCAGAGGGAAGCAGCGACCCAGTGCCTGCCGTTTGGCTCAGGTACCATGGAACGTTCCCAAAAGGATGCAATAGGAAAGATTAAGCGAACAAATGAAAACTTGTCATAGTATTAAAAGAGAGAGATTAGTACGTGCACTCGCAACTCTATTATCCTCTTGCCAAATATATCAGACTTTTTGAGCATATTAAATCTGCACACCAAAGCCTGCTATTTTCTGCTTAATATCTATGGAATAGACTACATCCCTGGTATCCCTCAAAGGTCCCTCGTGCTGTGAAAAGCCCCATCCAATCAGAATGCTTTGATTCCCCAATAAGGCGGGGTGAAAGAGCATGGCTACAAATCTCCTTTGTTTATTCCTTCCTTTCTAGTAGTGGCTGACACTATCCAAAGAGTTTGGGGCTGGTAAAATTGGGCATTATCCCCACAGTACCACTATGGCATCTAAAGCCATCTAATACTGGCCTCTTCTCAATTCCCCAGTCCAGGCCAGTAAAGGGACCCAGAGCACTGGTTCCAAGTCTAGCTCAGCACTGCCTACTTTAGGCATTCCTTGAAACACAGTGGGCTGAAGTGAGCCCAACAGTCATGTAATTCGCTGTAATTCGCTCTACGCGGGGCTGCCCTTGAAGCTGTCCCAGAAACTCCAGCGGGTGCAGAATGCTGCAGCGAGGCTCCTCATGGGGTCTCTGCCATAGGAACATATTCACCCAGTGCTTTTCCAGCTGCACTGGCTCCCGGTGGAGTACAGGGTCAGGTTCAAGGTGCTGGTCTTGACCTTTAAAGCCCTTCATGGCCTAGGACCCTCGTACCTACGGGACCGCCTCTCCCAGTATGCCCCACGGAGAGCCTCAAGGTCCATAAATGGCAACACCCTAGAGGTCCTGGGCCCTAAGGAAGTTAGATTAGCTTCAACCAGAGCCAGGGCGTTTTCAACTCTGGCTCCGGCCTGGTGGAACGCTCTGTCCCATGAGACCAGGGCCCTGCAGGATCTGATTTCTTTCCACAGGACTGTAAGACAGAGTTGTTCCACCTGGCCTTTGGCTTGGAGCCAATTTGATTCCCTCCCCCTCTTTCTTCTTTTCCTTTCTCCTCCTGCGATGAGGCTACATTTTAATATTTTAATGCTTCAATATTTTAATGTTGTATTTTCATTTTGTTTTTAAGTTGTATTCATTCAACTTGTTTTTATTATTGCTTGTTAGCCGCCCTGAGCCTGGCCTTGGCTGGGGAGGGCAGGGTATAAATAAAATTATTATTATTATTATTATTATTATTATTATTATTATTATTATTATTTGCTGGTGGTTTTCCAGGTGTTTGATAGCAGCCTGTTTCTACAGTTCCTAACAGGGAGCAAAAACAGGTATTTTTTAATTTAGCTTCTAGTGGGCTCAATTGTCCCTAGTGGGCTAAGTTTGGCTCAGCGTGCCATAAAGTGCAAGCCTGGTCTATTTTGATTGGTAGTAGTTTTCCCAGGTCTCAAGCAATATACTTTCCTACCCCTACAATGTGCGGTGCCAGCAGTTTAATGTCCGTACGCCAAGAATCTATAGTGCTTGTGACCCTTCTGAAAAAGCCTTCCAGCCACTTTTAGGCCTATAATTCTGAAAGACCATCATAAAGCTTGAAGGCTCCTAAAACAGGCACGCAAAATGGAAAAGCACTGGCCGTGCCAGATTGTAGCTCAAGATCACCAAAAGAGAGCTGGCAGCACAATCGCTTCTTTCCTTGATACAAAGGCAATGCTGCACATTAAGTTGGGCAGCTGGGCAATTCTTCTGGCTGAGACTGAAACCATGCCAGAGGAATGATAAATAGTTGCTGGTTACTGGCTCATTAACTCTGCCCTTTTGCTAAGGCAGAGTGGGAGAGGAGCCTCTCCAGAGACATTCCAGGAACGACCACCGTCCATTTGACATCATCGCTAGAAGCTCAGCCTGCACATAACTGACAACCAGCTAACTAGGAAGAGTTATTTTCACCTGAATTATGTCTGCCTCGTTCACTAGCATCTTTTAATTTGTTTAGAGGCAGTGGAAGCAGAGAGGCTAACACACACCATAGCTTAAAACCCCCTTCTTCCAGCCACTGGTTCCGCCGCACTGAGTGCCAAGCCTAGGGGGAGCCACAGAGCATTGCAACTATGACATAGTGAATTGAGCAGAATGGAAGGCCAGAGGCGGGAGGGCACCAAATTTTGGCCTCACACAGAGTGCCACTGAAATGTGAAAGACCAAGGCCTGCCCATGCCAGCTCTTTGGCAAGGCAGGGAAAATGGGAAGCCATGATCCCCTGAATCAGTGGTTTTCAACCAGTGTACCAAGGCACCCTGGGGTGCCTTGAATGATGATCAGAGGTGCCGTGGGAAACACTGGCCTCTGTCCCTCTTTCTTTTCCTCCCTTCTCTGATGCATTCTCCCGTCTCTGCCCCCCAAAGGCTTGCACAGCTGTTTGTTGCAGCAGCCCTGGCTACAAGCTCCGCAGGCAAATGGTGCCTCTGGGGCTGGTCAGAGGGTGCTGGTTGCCAGGAGTTGAGGCAGTCTCCGAGTAAGCAAGCAAGTAGGCGAGGGAGCCCAGCTGACCAGTCTGTCAGCCCTTGCTGTTGGGAATGGACAGACAAGTCCCAGGCCCCTGTGGCGCAGTTTGAGGAAGCACCTCTCTTTGAGGTGGGCAGCTCAGAGACCAGGGGCAGCAGCTGCCCAGAGGACTCTCAAGAGAGAGGAGAGGAGGCTGAGGGAACACTCTACAAGGAAGGGTGTTCGAAAAAGGGTGAGAGGCTGCCAGCTCTGCAGGCAAGGGGTGACATAACTGGGCTCCAGAGCCCCACAGGGGTGCCACAGAAAGAATGTAGTTGGTCAAGGAAGCCGTGAACTTAAAAAGGTTGAAAACCTCTGTCCTAAATAATTACCGGTATGTATGTGGAGAAGCAGCTCGTTTCCAGAAGGGCAGGGGCCACTATCTGGGACACCCACCTATAATCATAACCCCTGTTATCCTAATGGAACCACGATATCCCCCAAACCCAAGCAAGTGTAACCTAAACCAGGCATAGGCAAACTTGGCCCTCCAGATGTTTTTGGACTACAACTCCCATCATCCCTAGCTAGCAGGACCAGTGGTCAGGGATGATGGGAGTTGTAGTCCCAAAACATCTGGAGGGCCGAGTTTGCCTATGGTTGACCTAAACTCTCAGCATCACTAAATGAAATTGGTCCACAACCAATCAACTACAGTGGTACCTCGGGTTACAGACGCTTCAGGTTACAAACACTTCAGGTTACAGACTCCACTAACCCAGAAAGAGTACCTTGGGTTAAGAAGTTTGCTTCAGGATGAGAACAGAAATCACGTGGCAGCAGCGTGGCGGCGTCAGGAGGCCCCATTGGCTAAAGTGGTACCTCGGGTTAAGAACAGTTTCAGGTTAAGGACGGACCTCCAGAACAAATGAAGTTCTTAACCCGAGGTACCACTGTATAACCTTAGTTGATTGGGTAGGTAAAGTAAAGGGACCCCTGACCATTAGGTCCAGTTGTGGCCGACTCTGGGGTTGTGGCGCTCATCTCACTTTATCAGCTGAGGGAACCGGCGTACAGCCTCCGCGTCATGTGGCCCACATGACTAAGCCGCTTCTGGCGAACCAGAGCAGTGCACAAAAATGCCATTTACCTTCCCGCCAGAGTGGTACCTATTTATCTACTTGCACTTTGACGTGCTTTCAAACTGCTAGGTTGGCAGGAGCAGGGACCGAGCAACGGGAGCTCACCCCGTCACAGGGATCAGAAGCGCCAACCTTCTTATCGGCAAGTCCTAGGCTCTGTGGTTTAACCCACAGCACCACCCCAGTTTCATTCAGTGAGGCTGAGAGTTTACGTTACATTTGTTGACTGATCTCATTTAAAGCCTACAGCCATATTTAAAATGCACCTTTCATAAGGCTGAGTCACCTCGGGAGTAATGAATGGGCATATGTT